CATTTCCCTACTCCCACTGTTTTTGATATCCTTCCCCACTCTACTCTGGTGAAAGTGTTTTAGGCAGCAAAATCAAAGTGCACAGGCCTGAGGTAGGAGTGTGCCTGGCAGCAAGGAAGCCGGTGTGGCCAAAGGTGAACAAGCACAGGAGGGGTGCAGGAGATGAGGTCAACGTAGAAACAGGAGGCCAGTGTTGATGACTTCTGGTATTAGTAGTGGCTCACAGGCCACTCTGAGGACCTTGATGTTCATCCTGAGATGGGGATAGGCAGGAACATAACGACTTCTGTGCACACACTCCTGTTAAGACAAAGGACTTCCTTTTTTTCTGGGCCATCAAACATATGTCCTCACCCTTTGTTCTTTCTTAACCCTAAATTTTAATGTCTATGACCCTAAACTCCTAAAGGGTTTTTATGCTTTTGTTGGGGTACAAGTCATCATAGAGCTGTTGCTACATGGAAGTGGGAGATATTTAAATATGTGGCATGTAGTATGTGTGTCAAATCCAGCCCTTCTTCCACCCCCCGGGATGAACCAGTGTGGCTAATCTGTGATAACACCTAGGAAATAGAGCATTTTCTTTGCACGGGTCTCAGAGGCCCATGCTGCAGCTGCTGGGCATGGTCACTTGGTGGGGCAAGACATGCTGGGCTGCCATGGCTGTGTCCAGTTCTGGTGCTCAGCTCTGTGCACAGGACCTTGGCTAGTGCCCTTGCCAGGGACAGGGCTCTACTGCGGTAGCCGTAGGAAAGCTTTAGAGATGAGTTTTCCTCTCAGAAGTAGAGATGGTTTCATGCTTAAAATGTCTAGGTTTGCACAAAAGAGTACAGTTTTCATATTTCATTTATCAATTTTATTGAAATTGAGGTGTGCTTGTTTTAAAGGAATGGCTAGATGTAAAGTTAAGATGGAATCCTGATGACTACGGTGGAATAAAAGTCATCCGTGTCCCTTCAGACTCTCTTTGGACCCCAGATATTGTTTTGTTCGATAAGTAAGTTATATTCCAAGCACTGATTCATGTTTTCAAAAGAAAGTACTTGTTTGATTACTATGAGACACGTAATTTTTTCTCCCTTTTGGAAATCATTCAGCTATAAAATCATATGCCTTCATCTTATGTTCTTTTGCTTCATGAATCTACAGGTAGGTTCTGTGAATCTTGTTCTGTTTTTGGTACATTGTCTTCTGATCTTTAAAGTGTTCGATTTCTAAAATTTGTATTTTAGAAGGTGTAAGGAGGCAGGGAGGCATCGCCGATCATCAGTCCCATCACCCAGTCGCTTAGAGGCAGCCACGTCACCAGTTCACACACTGTATGCTCAGTGCCCTGGGGGGTGTCATGCCATTGGCTTTCCAGGATAATCTCACCATCTTGGTACTTCAGCCTGACAGATGAGGGGACAGAGGCTGCTGGGCATTATACTTGATCTGAGAAGATACAGCTCACATATATGAGGGTGCATTCACACCAAGACCACCTGCATTCCCACTAGAGTGCTATTTTGTAGACTGCCTTCCAGATTTTGGCTTTGTTGTGTTCTTAAATAGTTGAGGTCATCATACTTTATATTCAAATGCATCCTTCAATTGGCCACAATGCTGTTGCACAGTTTTCCCACAGTGAAGAACATTGGGTCAATAATGAACTCATACCATGTATATCTATCATATATATTATTATAATACATGTTA